CACCACCACCACGACCACGACGACGTCAATACCAAACGAATAGCTAGGGACTACTTCAACATCAACTTACCATCTCGTTTCTACTACTCCTGCCTCCTACTCCTCTCTACTCGGCAACTCCTCCTCCTCCTCCAGCCGCTAGGACGGCTGCCAACACCAACAAGAAACAGCATCGAGTTGACAACGACGCCGCCACCATCAATTACGTCACGCACTAGCCCCTGGAAAAACAAATGTGGCGCAGTCAAGCAACCTCCCAACCTGCCTCAACGGGTAAGTGACGGCCTTCCTCATCTTGGGCATCACTCTCGTAGTCCTCGTACTCATACTCACGCGAGGCACAACATCCGCAGCAGAAGGAGCAGCAGCACCTTTTGATACGTAGCCTTGGGAGCTGGAAGAAGTGATCCAAGACGTGCCAAGTTCTTAAGCGTAGCGTCAGCCCTAGAGTCCCGAAGGCCAGAGCTGTGCAGAAGCCACAGCAACAAAAACAAGTGCTCAGAGATGCCACGTGGCAACAGCGCCCAAGTACAGCTCATCAGGCGAAGGATGGGACGACAAACACATCGCACACACTTCAGCAGTTGCCGCAGGAAGTGCCTCAGCTTGCTGAAGACAGCATCAGAGCTTCCAGGAATTTGTTCAAAACCTCGTCCTGCAGGATGTTCTGATGAAATCAACTTTTAGAAAATCTTGAAAGAAAAATTGGAAGAAACGTGTTTTGGCAAAAATGGAAGTCTCTGCACCGGAGAAGGAGAATTGGGAATGTATGTCTGTATGTATGTATGTATGTGGCTACAGAGCCACCATGTTGGAGACAAGCGGCTGCTTCCACACGGCAGCTTTTGTGCCGATTACTGAACACAGCCTCAGGCGATTACTTGACCTTTTTTTCGAATAAAAAGTGCAACCATGCTAGGCAGCTGCTAAGGCCTGAGCATAGGAAGGCCAATGACCACCCAGAACTGGAGGATGAAAGCACTCCCGAAGACGTTCAGCAGCATGTCCCAAGATGGATCCGATGATGGTTGGCTGACCGAGAACAAAACAAAGCCTTGGCTGGGACACCATGTGACGTTCATTCTCTTTTACTCCTGCATTCCTCTGCGAAGCATCTTCAAAAGGGGGGAAGGTGCTGAATCTGTGTTGAGATTCGCAATACACGGCGCAAAGACTGATTCCCGCGTGCACCAACCAAAAGCTAGCTTTCAGAAGAGCCCATCCCTCAGAATCTCAGAGTGCTTGACCTTTCGGCCTTAAGTCTTGCGTCTCAAGCCCATTATAACTGATCTTGTCATCCCAGGACTCACCCTTCTTCTTCTCACAGCTCTGCATGCTCCCTCCCGAGGGAGAGCACCGGGGCAGTGCCCCGAGCCGGGCGGTGCAAAGCTCGCCCTCTCCCTAGAACCTAGAACAGCAGATGCTGGCGCATTAAGGCTTTTCCCCCACGCCTGGCAGGATTTTCTGTGATCACACAGGTGGCAAAGTGGCAAAGGAACAAGACCAACGAATCCCGGCTGGTCGCAAGCGTTTGTCCCTGACAGCGAGTTTGGGCAATGTGTAGCTGAGAGCGCTGTCTAAACAACAAGGTCGGCAACAGCTAAAAGCTGCACTATAGTTTGAGGGTTCCTAGTCTAAGTTTCGAGTATCTCCAGGGGCTGGTCATAAACAGTAACACTCATACAATAGCGTGGTAGGCTTGAAAACTTCGAAAGCAACCTGCAAGAGATTCTGCAAGCTGGGTGTGTGGAGACAAGGACTTGGAAACGGCCCTTGCTGAATCGCAGCACATCTGATTCGGACGTCTCAATTGTTTGTGCTGCTTCGCCGAACTTGTCATGTTTGGCCATGCATGTTCCGGTAAGTGCGCGCTGGAACGTGCACGTTAATATGGTTTTGGGCATGGATGCTGTGGTAGATGCATGCGTTCTCACATTTCATGCTGGACCAGAGATGCTGTCAAAATGAATCAAAAAAGTAAAACGGCAACCTCAAGAAAAGATCATCGGCAACAGGAAAACGGAAGGCTAGGCTTGCAAAGTCTTCGCTTGCGCTTGCACCCAGGCCGCTCAGAAAGATCAGATTGGCAAGGAAAGACACCTGGCAAGTGATTGTGTACCTTGGCGCATGCGAAAGGAAGATCGCACAATCAACACCGAACACTCTTGATTGCCAGACTCGAATCAAATCAGGGGTTCCAGCCGAAACCTTTCGCCCATGAAGCCCCCATGACCCAAGTGGTAATCAAGTGGGCAGTAGCCATACTTTCATTAAGCTCCATAATCGAAACGGTGGATTGCGGCCAAGCCACCCCCTGGAAGCTTTCTTCATGATGGTCTCCTTGGCGGGGAGCTACATGGACTTTCATGGTCTTCACGAAAGAGCTCCGCGCTGCAATTTAGCAAAGCCTCCTTTGCCATCATATCCGCCACCTGGTTGAACAGAAATACAAATTGCCCAATGTCCAAGTACCCATCGTCCTGCGACTCCTAGCACCACCAGGAGCTGTAGGTGCTTGTGTGGACTCAGCCCATAGATTCAAGAATGCAATTCAGCAGCGCTGCCGGAAACAGGACGACAGTTAGCATGCGGCATTGCTCCTCTTCCCGGTGGAACCACCACAAAAGTTTTTCTGCCGCAGCACCCTCCATGAAAATGCCACAGACCTTCAGCGCCTCAGGAAAAGAATGTTTGCTCTCCCCAGCTGCAGCCCCACCACGTCCTCTGTGCTGAGGCCCGGGCAGCAAGCAACTCCCTTGTAGTGATTCTATTGCGCAAGGTCACGTCAATTTCCTGAAGCACACCGCGCCCCTGTTGCGTGCTCTTCACATGGAAGGGCCATGGCCATAGAATGATTTAGAAAGGCAGCGTCCTACAACAGCTGCCTGCCATCTGCACAGGGCAGGAGCTGAAATAGGGTTGTTTCAAACAACACGCTAGGCATGTCTGGAGAGGGATCACAAGCCAAGCACTAGGAGTGCTTCTCTCGCATTACCTACGGTAGCTCCTTTCTTTCTTGCACAATCAATTTTTGCAACACCTGAAAGGTGGCCCGATTCACGCGCACATGAGGTGATGCTGCACCTCTTTGTCCCGGGCATGCAGGGTCGACACTCTGACCGAAGCAAGGCAGCAGCTGGCAGCCGAAACCACAGTGGTACGACCGAGTTGTCGGGCTAACCGCTGGAGCATTTGGGTGTGGCATGTGGACCAGTCTGCTGCATGCCGGCGTGAAATCATCCAAGATCCGCAATACGTTTAAGTTGTTAACAGCTGAATCGCAAGCACCAGAACTTTCAGAAGGGATCACCTTTGTGCAGCTGAGCCACTTGAAAAGCATCCTGCAGCATGTCCATCTCGGTCGTAGGGCAGCTGTCACTCACTGCGCTACCCAAGAGGACCCCACCACAGTGACTTTAGCCGACGTGTATGTGAGCATGTTTCGGAGGCCTTCATGCTGAATGGCCCCTCGACATGGTGGCTTCAAGGTGGCATTCCAGTCAAAGTTCAGTCCCAGGCACCGGTATCCTGCCGGCTCCACGCCCTTTACGAGCCTCTTCTAACATGCGCTCAAGAACCTGCAAGCTGTGGCTGGACACAAGTTGAGAAAAGTAGTTAAACTCTTGCGAGAGAGACTAAGACACCCATTTCTCTACTGTATGGGCTTAACAGCAGTGCCTTCTTGAGAGCTTCTTGTGGACTCCGTCGGATGCGAAGCTCAATCGTGGCACGTTTCAATTCGTCCTTCGAGACAAGATACCGCCCGTGTTCGCCTAACAAATGAATGCAACACCTGGTCCTCCGTCAAGACGGCACGACGCGCTTTTCCTGTTTTCATGCGAAGCCGCTCTTCGATGATCCACTCCTCATAGCTGAGGTCCTGCTGGTTTCGATTCTTGGAGAGCAGATCCCATAGCAATTAAACAACCTCAGGGGACACTGTAAGCTACAATCAGAGTCCCAGCTCAATTTCAATCTGGCTGCATGCTCGTCCTGTATGTTACACTCCTCCAGAATTCGCAGGGACACGCGGTATCTGTCCTGCAAATGAGAATGTTTGATCGCTGGCCAGTTGTGACCTCTATCGCTCCCCCCCGTCATGCTTCAGCAAACTGTCCAAGCAGCGCACGCAGGTCCAAACCCCAAGGCGGATAGATAGCTAGGAAAGTGTAGCACGTAGCATGTTGAAGATTTGATCATTGGCGTGCTTGCTTCTTTGCGAGGAAGCTCGGACCAAAGTCTAAAAAGAAGCCCAGTTCGGCTGCCCCGGGTTGTTCTGTTCTACCATGGACATCTAAGACCTCTGCCCCTCGCGTCGCGGCGACGCCGTCTGAACTCTGGTAGCAGCTGCATGCGCTTTGGAATTAAAACGCCCTGCGATGTAGTTTTCTGATTGCAGACGTTCATGGATCATGCCCTCTGACCTTGCTACGTCTCTACATTAATCAAATCGTCCACAATCGATGTCGCTTTGGGAAAGCATCACCGCGACCTACCCAACCTTCACAAGATACGGGCACGCGCAATGCTTGGCAAATAGTGCTGAGTAGGAACCTACCGCCCTCCCCCACAGGCATTGTCCAGACGAGGTATGTCGTACAGGTTATCGACGCACTCCACCAGCGCTTGCTGAATCCGAGCCCGCTCCTGCAAGGGCGCAGGGAGGAGTGAAGCCTTCAGTGATCTCATCCCGTCTCAACCCTTCGGCCTCCTCCTCGCTTAAGCCTTCAGTCTCCTCCTTCCACAGCAATCCGCTGCACACTGCAATGCGATGGCGCACGCTCCATGCTTGGACACTGACTGGCAAAATGCTGTCGAGAAAGCTCCTTCCACTTTGGTTTCTCGTCGTGCAATCTGGTGGGTGTGGCTTTCGAAGCCTGATACAGCGCCATCGTCGTCTCAGCACCAGCGGATGAGGTCTAGGGCTCTAAGAGGGACCTGATTCGGCATACGTGAATGCGGGAATGGGATTAAAACGGGTCGTTCCGAATAGCTCATGATGATGACGCAGTCTTGGCTGACCCAGAACCAGCTCTGCACATCTCCATCAAGGGCAAGGCTTCTCTTGCATGCAATGCTGAAGGTAAGCGCTCCGCTCCCAAGAAGGCAGCAAAAACAGAGCCCGAGAGGAAGAAAACACCTGTTGCACATTGCTGCAGCTTCCTCCCGCAGCCGGCCAAGGTGCACACACACCGCACAGCCTCGGACCTGCATTGCTGCCAAGAAACCTGGTGCTGTCCCCAAGCCTCGAGGCTCCGTCACTAGCAATGCCCCCAATGCCTGACACAAGTGCAAAACCAGGGCTATTACATCGAATTGCTCGATTCCAGAGCCCAGGGCCCCCGCCAAGAGAAGCGATGAAGCGCTGCAAAGAGCCAGGAACCCACCCAACAGGAGGAGGAGGATCGATCGGAGACTCAGCGAGCACATGCGAGCACACCTGAGACTGTTCCTGGCAGTTTTTGGCAGTCAAGCATCAATGCGGCCAGGAAGATAAGAAGGTCTGCTCCGCAAATCGTCAGAACTCCCAGTACACCAAGCCAGGCTGCAGCTGTAACCTAATTTCACATAAATGGGAGGCTTCACTTGCAGCACTTTCCGAAAGCTCTGTGGGGCCCGACCCAGATGCAAACTTGCTCATCAGCCTCCATGGGATCTGGCACGAACGGGCTCCCTTCGATAAGAGCTGCTGCCACTGCAACAGCTTCAGCGGAACCTGCAAAGCTCAAAGTCGATGGCAAGTCCGACAAGGATGACTTAGCCAGCTTGCCTGCAGAGTACTCCGAGCTGCAGAACTCTCGCCAAGAAAGCCCGACTACCTGATGGCGGCATTAATCAAAGTCACGAAACAGTCCACAGAAGTGATTTGATTCAGGGCACCTTGCAGCCAGACCTTGACCCCCGAGTGGTGGACTTGTGTCATGTCAGTTCGTCACCCAACTTACGATGCATGTGAGTCTTTGCTTGCCTCATGAAGATGTGCCATGAATGTGCCTCAAACCCTTTCAAGGACGTCGCTTCCTGCTGTGGATGGAGGGGGCATGGCGCAATAATGTTAAAGCTCAACCCTGCTTTTCATTGGTAAAATGGTAAGTTTCTGGTCAGAGGCCCAGCGGCCACCTTCACTTGCGACATCAGAATCCGTCACCCGGCACTTTAGGAATCCGTCACTTGCGATTACAAATTCTAGCACCTGTGACTAAATACCGCATCACTTAACTGGTTATCCTCCTGGATGCCTCGCAGAACGCCATTTGTTTGGGAGACGCGCCAAATCACTTGTGATTACATGTTTTTGGGGATTCACTGTATCCATCCGGCCTCTTGGGAATCTAGCGGTTTTAAGATATAACAGGTTGAAAGGCTTTGGGGTTTTAGGAGGGTTTAGACACGCGCATCGCACAGCAGTGCAGGCACAGGAAAGAATGTCCGGTCCAGATCCAGTGCTGTGACTGGCGCGAAAGAAACATGAGAAGCTACAGGTCTTTTGAGTTGTGGGTGTATTTAGTGTGCGTTTCCGCTGGTAGCCCTCAGAGGTTGCAGGGGGATCGAAAGCGGTGGTCGAGTTTAGGCGTTTGAGAGTTTGGGGGATTTATGACTTATGCTTTGGAGTCACAACAAAGCTGAGAGCTCCCCAGACTCCCCAGATCTGAGACCCATAAGAACCTCGAGAACCAGACCATTAGGCGACTGCAAGGTCTCAAGCTCTGGTGCGCTTCAAATGGAGACAATGGGTCTACATGTCACCGAGTTGCATGAGCGGTGGAGCCGGTCCATTCCGGTCGTACAAAATCGAAGTGGAACAGAGTGGCAGTCCTCCAGAAGACTGTCACAAGCGTCAACAGAGCAGGAGTTCAATCCCCCTGCATGTTCCTAGATTGCTACTTCTTTCCATGCAAAACCCACAAAGGCTTTGGGCCAGCCAAGTCACGTTGATGGTGCGGGACGTCCGGGTAAAGGCTTCCATCGCAGAAGCTGGTCAGACGGAACGCTGGCCCAGAGCGGTACAAAAAGCAGAGGCGCAGCAGAGGCCTTAAATGGTCCAAACAAGTGGTGAGCGTCTGAAAGGCATTTGGCACAAAAAACGGATTATCTGAATCCAAGCATCCACAGACAACAACAGCAGCAGCCCACCAAACCAGCCGCCACATACTATCCTTCAAAGGCAAGGCAAGGTCTGAGCGGCAACAGCGGACTTTCACATGGCTCCCGTGCCTGTTGACATCAAACCCTTGCTTTGCAAAGGGTGAAGTCGGATCCATGACGGCTGGTCATGGCGGTACTAAACTAAACTAACAGACCCCGCGTCCTAAAAGCAAAGCTGCTAGAGGCCTACATTACTGGCAGAACACAAACCTGCTAAGCACAAGTGGATTCAAAAACATGTGTGCGGGAATACTTTGACAAGTGATGTCAGAAATCGAGCCGAAGTAAGAGCGAATGGTGTACTGAACCGTCAGCCTCATTGTCAAGCCGGCTCGCGGCTCTTCCCTTCTGTCATCTTGCAGTCTGTAAAACCCAGTGTGACATACCTTTCACGACTTGTTCGGGAAGCAGACTTGCGGGCGACATGCCGGGCGGACACATCATCTGCCCCCAGGTTGAGCATGCGTTTTAGCCTCACCAACGGCTAGTCCCTCGAAGAGAGTCTCCGCGTAAAGCGGGCACCAAGTGCCCGGGCGATGCAAGCTCGTTCCGAAGCATCTGGCACTGGCGTTCTTTCTTGGAAAGCCTCAGCCGCATGCTTTAGAGATGCATCGACCCTATCATGCAGCATCTTAAATCTAGAGTGATAAAAGTTAGATGACAGAGAAGGCGAGGCTCCTGTCCCAAGTCTCGCGGCAAATGCAAGAAAACAAATTCACCCGGACCGTTTTCCGTGCCGCGAGCTGGGCGCACCTTCAACCTGCAGCTTCGCCAGAAGGTTGAAGAGTGACCGAAACCAGCAGGTGATCAAACGGCATTACAGCCGCTCAGCTTTTAACACCTGAAGACACAGCCACTGGGTCAGGACATGTTGCCATGTCGCTGAACTTGCCCCAACCCAAGGCACCTAAACCTAATGCAAAGCCTGGTTCCCTGGTCCTGCCCAACTGCCTCCTAGTTCATGAATGTTCCGGCCTGTGCAAGAGGACCAAAACCGGGCATCCTACAAAATCACCTGTGAGATCGCCTTGGGCCTAGGTGAAACCCTACCAGGAGATGGCAACTCTGCCTGTGGCCCGAAAGACGGATCATTATTATCATTGAGGATCTGACTGCCTCACTGCCATAAAAATGAAATAGGCTCATCCTACCCAAACACTGTTGCAGCACATCGTTTCCAGCCTTGTGTGAAAAAGCTCTGGAGCTGATGAATCTGAGAAGAAGTTACTGGTGTTATTCGCGTTCAGAACTTCTGATGCTGGAGCCACGGTTTATGTTGCTCCTGTTGCTACTTTCATTACTTGCCCTAGGCACCCTGCAGGGATAGAATAATTTGACGACAGAACACGGGACATAATTAGACTGCATACATTTTCGAATCTTAAATTGCTGCTAGTGCAGCTGCAGCTCAGCACTCCGGAGCACCTTCGTCTAGGAAGATTGGTTCAGGCGCCGTATATGTGCAAAAACTGCCTTGCAGAGCGAGCTGGCTGCAACTGGATCTTGCGAGACCCCTTCATAGTCCAACCTCCGGTGGGGTGCCCCCTGGAGCCAGTAGTGAACGACATTCTGGATCACCACTGATGCTCCTGCTATTTTGGAGCCTACCGGGAGGGCCATGCCAGCAGCAAAAAATCCTCATCCATTCTTGCACAGCAATGCAAGCGTCCAGTCTCGTCCCTAAAGCACATCCCAAACTGGTGAACAAGACAGACGCCGAAAGTCCTCGTCCCGCCAAGGTATTCCGGGATGATGGAATCGTCCATATGCTGACGGAGCACCTGCTTCAGTCCATATGTGAGCATACACCATGCCAGCAATTGCACCATACCTTGAGGGACTCCTCTGCACTGGCTATTTGCATCAATGAGGCCGTGTGCGGGTTTACCTTAAGGCCGGGGATTGACAAACAGTTCCGATCAACCACCACTTCTCCTCGACCCATATTAATCGGAGGTCCGCCAAATCACGAGAATGTGTTTGAGGGTGTTCCACACAGCTGCAAAGGCTGCAGGCGCGTTGATGATAAGCACCTTGCATGCAATCAAGTCATACCACATGCTTGGCATGGACAGCAGCGTGGTTCCAAAGAGGGCCCATATCACTTCCCATGGGGACAAGTAGCTCGGCGCGCAGATCTGGGCACTGTGTGATTCCTGGACTTCAGGATCGCTCCCAAGGCTTGCAGCGTGCGGGGGCTGAAGGTGCGCCAGCCTGGTTCAAACACCCGGACAAACCCAATTCACAGGCCACTTCATGACCTGATGCTTCACGCGATGAACTTTGCGGCAGGTGGCTAATGCCCTGCAAGTCCTCTATCAGCGTCGCGTTCACAAAAGGAACGTTCCTGCGAAGGCTGTCCTGTCACACTCTTGGACGTGGAAACTCTTGACCAGCCATGTCCTTGAGATGCATCGCAGGCCTCCTCGACGCCGGCCAAAGTGCGCAAGCAGTGCACGATGTCCATTTTCCTTAATTCCCCACCCTCGCAGTGGGGTTGTTAGACTTTAAAGTAGATGTTGTCCTCGCCTGANNGGAAGCTGACTTTAGTGACCAACCACCAAGTATCCCTGCAGTGCCCAACCACCAAATATCCCTGCAATGCCCAACCGCAGAGTATCCTCACACTGCCCAACCGCAAACTATCCCTGCAGTGCTCAACCACTACGTATCCACGCAGTGCCCAACCGCAAAATATCCCTGCAGTGCCCGACTGCAAAGTATCCCTGCAGTGCCCAAGTGTCCAACCACCAAACATCCCTGCAGGACCCGACCGAAAAGTATCCCTGCAGTGCCCAAGCGCAGAGTATCCTTGGAGTGCACGACAGCAGAGTATCAATATTCTTGCAGCGCATTTGCAGTGCTGCAAGGAAGACAGTTGACAGTGGGCAGGGAAACGTTATGTACACTTCTTGTGCAATGGAATGATGGCTTTAGGGTGGGGATGCTCGAAGTAAATAATGCTGATTTCCAGCTCCATTTCAACGGCATGAGTCAGGCAGTCTCGATGCAGTGAATACATTAAGGGACAAATTCAAAGCCTGGCATCTGAAGAACGTCATAAGGGACGTTGTCGTGCAAGGCCGTCCAGTCCGCACAGCCGATTCGCTCCTCAGAGCGCCCGTGAAGCAGGCAGCAAATGAAAGGGATCTGAATCCATTTGAGATCAAAGGCTCCAGGGCCACAGGCTCCCCCTCGAATCCAAGGCCTGCACAGAGATTCTTGCCAAGCAGGAAGGCGGAAGCAACACAGAGGTCAAGACTCAAGGCTGTCAAGGCACTGCATGCCGAAACCAAACACACAGAGATCCAACTGGGACTAATGTTCTGCATCCTCTACCTTCCCCAGGACTACAAGGGCAAGTTCAAAGCTGTCCGGGCCGACAAGGCGGCAAGCTAGTTTTTGTCAGGCACGAAATGCACTGTGCTGCGCTCAATGGCTGCTTGGCGCACCTAAAAATCCACCCGTCGGCCACCATGGTGCAAGGCAACGCTCAAAGAGCGCCAAATTCCAGTGAGTCAGGGCTCTTGGCACGTCATGCTTCTTCTGCCATTCTACCTAGGTGAAGCTTTTCTACGTAGAATGTGGCAGTTTGCAGTCACTGTTCTCACTTTGCATGGTTCGGCCAGGCAGCAGCTTCTCGAAAGCAGGCTTCTGCCCGGCCCACATCCCCTTGGCCTTCCTGGAAAAAACCTAGGCTGCAAAGCCGCTCTTGCAGCTGAGATGATACAGACGTGGCACATTCCGCCGAGCATCGGAGGAGGGTGCAGAAGTCAGAACGAAGCGCCACCGAAGCGATGTCTGAAACGCGCCTTTGTAGCTCCCTGACGCCTGAGACTGGCCAGACATGCATTGCTGAACAAATCCGCAATTTGAAGCTCCACTCCAGCCTTGCAGCTCTCTAGCATCTACATCAGGCAAAGGAAGTCTTGCGAGCGCCGCTGGAGCCTGTGACACAGCGCAGCAACACAGCAAGCCTGCCTTGTTTGCAAGACACAAGCTGACACCCCAACTGCTTGTTCTAATTTTGTTTTGCAGAGAATTTGCCTGCAAATCAGGGGGCTTCCCAAAAGGATCTTCACGCAGCCCGCAGTATTTGAAGCGTCCATAGCCCAATTGCCAAGCTTCTTCCTTGGCTAGCAAATCAGAATCTATTCGAAGGGCCATCTGGAGCCAGCGCGCTCTGCCACCGCGCAACCCTGACGCTGCCGCTACAGAATGCGAAGACGTATTTTGGCATATCAGACTGCAAGACCAGGCATACCTGAGACTGAGGAAGCACCCAAGCTTTAGGACGCCCAGCGCCTGAGGGACAAGTTGAAGAATTCAGCATCTAGTGCCAATCAGGCACTGTCAAAAGGGCTTTCCGCTTGACTAGCTTGCGGAAAGGCAAAGTTGGAGTTGGGCAGGAATGTTGTGACTTCGTACTGAAGCTCGAGTGAATATGTAGGCTGAGGATACTCCAACAACAGCCAAGACCACTGCATCCCAAGCTGCTGCGCTGTTGTTCTCCGGCTGCCGCAGCTTTGGCGCGCGCCTGTACCAGAAACACAGTGGCAGTCACCGCAAGGTATGTCCAGCCTGGCCTGCAGCAAAACCAGCGGGGAGGGCGAGCAGAGCGCTCCAAAGCTACCTCGCTTTGCTTGAACTCCGGCCGCTGCTTCCTGCAAACGGTGCTGTGCAGGGCAAGCACTTCCCTTGCCACACCAGCTTGGCCTTGATGGGCCATCGGTCTCCAGATTTGAGTTGCCGAAGCCCTCCGAAACACTTGAGGGGTTGTTGATTTCAAGTTTCAGTAGCGAGCCTCGCGGGGACGAAGGTCATTACAAACGCAGCAAAGGTCCATGACTGAAGCACCGTGCTTTGAGCCAATGGGCAGCCGATCAAAGGACTACTTGTCTCAGGTGGTTAAACCACCCGGTCGGGTAATGATAAGAGTCCACTCCACAGTTGGCTGCTTGAGTGCCAGACTCTGCGTTGAGCACTTCAACTTCAGCAGAGTTGTCGCCAAAGATGTCGTGTCTCGGTTTGACTGGACTTGAGATCGAAGCATTGCACTCAGCCAAGTCTTGCTTCCAGAACAAGGGAGTGGGCTCAGACCCGAATTTTTCATCCTGGCACAACCATGGCAAAACAAGCTGCAAGGTTACATTCGACAACGGGAAAGTCAAAGAAGCTCCTTCAAGATGCAGCGTGCGTTTTTTTTTACATGACTTCGTGCGTAGCACGCGGACAAAACGGAAGCAGGTTTTGCTCTGTTGGCAGCTAGCTGTGTCTCTCAGCAAAATGTTTCTGGCCAGAGCCCACGCATCGAGCACGATCATTTCTCCGCTCCTGGGGCGGCACCTGGCTTCTTCCTCAGTCAAAGCACAACTGCTGCAAAGCTTGGGGCAAAGCCTGCGTGTGGCATCGCGGTGCACTTTGGATGAGACGCCGAGCAGGGCCGAGCAACTGAAAGGTTACCACTGGACTGGCATCCAATGTTTTCAGCCTGGCACGGCATGGGCACTTCCAGCCGACCCTTTTTGGGATTCAAGCCAAGAACAACAGCAGCGGCTCAGCAAGCTTGCACCATCATGTTAGCAGTCCCAGAAACACGTACCCAGCCCAGGCACCAAAAGCAAACTAGAACCAACAACTGAACACTAGTCGACGCGAAACGGTGCGCGCAAATTAAAATCTCTAAAGGAAGGTGGTTGCCTACCCCTATGACCATGCCACATGAACGGGGACATTCCTGCTTAAAGTGACAAAGAGAGAAATGACCGCCCCCATGCATGCTGAGGCACGATTTGGATGCACTGATGATGGGTGGAGGAAGCCTCACTTCTCCATTCGCAACGTCCCCAGTTGTGCCTGGAAAACATGGTCAGGGAAGCGAGTGTGTCTGTCTTGAATTAGAGCAGCTTGGGATCCGCCTCTCTCAGAGCGAGGAGCTGTCTTTTCATACGTCTTTGGAGGGAAGTACAGGTAGTCCGCCTCATCATCGCTGATGATCTCCTGGCCACGCATATTACAGGCTGTCAGATTCTCTCAATGTCCTCCACACATATATGTGCTCTTGGGAGGCCGGTTCTCCACCTGCGCTAAGGCAGAAAATGCTGAAGTCCTCGGATGAGCTGCTGGAGTCGGAGTCTGTCCAGCGCGCGAAACAGCAGCAGCAATACCTAGCATAATCTGGGGCCTACATGCTGCGCTTTGGTTTCTTTCAGGCAACAGTTCACCTCGCCTGCTCATCAAGGCTGGCCAGCCAGCATCTTAAGGTGAACGACGGGCTTCTACAGTCTGCTCCAAACTGTGCAGGTTTGTCTCTGCTGAGCAAATGTGTTGACTGATGTAAGTCAGCAATGGCAATGTCCTTACGCCTCAAGCTTGGAGATCTAGGCGCTTGAAACGGGCGCCATGTTGCAAGGTAACCAGGAGGCAAGCAAGGCACGACACTAGGAGATCAAACATGCCGCTGTGACCCCAAAGCTGAAGCGCTTCATGAAGCTGCCGGAGGAGCCTCGCTCAAAAAAATCGGCTGCCTCTGGGCATGTGCTTTGGCTTCATGCGTGAGCCTTGACCAGCTCGAGACTGAGAGCTCTTTGGTAGGTTCAAGGAAAGGGGGAGGGGGCTCAGCTCACCCTCCTCATCCTCTTCTTCGTCATCATCATCCCTGCAGGGTTGCGAGGCTCCCGTAATCTTTTGCTACACACTGTGCTCATCTTCGTTTAGCGTGCAAGCTCAGGCCAGGACCAAACGGAGTGCATCTCCTCCCTGGCAGCCTCGTTGCTATCCTGCGTGTCCTGAGTGTCCTGGCTGTCCTCCAGGGGTGGCTCACATGTGCATCTGGAAACAACAGTGACATACAGTCACAATCCCGGACTGAAGCAGTGTCCTCCAGAGGTAGCTCCTGGCTGTCCTGGCCGTCCTCGAAGCCCTGGTTCAGGTTCTCAACCTGAAACTGCAGCCTCAGGATGCTGGCATGCAAACATCAACATCCAGCTGCCGCCTTGCAAGACCTGAAGCTTCCGCATCGCATGCGTCAGGCGTCGCTGGGCGGTGCTGACGGCTTTGTGCATCTTGCTGATATTTTCGATCTTGGCATGGACAGGAAGTAATATGTGGAAAGAAGCTCTGCGAATTCAGAAGCAACAAGCGGCGTCACAATCTTGGCCGGTTGCGATCTTGATAGACTTCTCTCCCACCACCTGGCTTGACAGCTGTCGAGCAGGGCTTCCTCCATGCTCAAAACCCAGACAGGCGTGCTGTCTTTCGCCACTGGCCGATCTCCTTCTCTTGTTCTTCTGCCAACTGAGCCAAATCATGACACCATCCAAGCCAGCGAATGTCATCTTTAGGCTCTCTTGTTCCTGCTCCCGGAGAAAGCAGGTGCGAAACCCGATGGCAAATCTCAGTGCCGCGCAGACTTGGCCTGAACCCGCATATTGATGATCCGTCGCCTCAGCCAGACTTTGTTCATCCTTCCGGATGTTGTTCATGTTCGGTTCTGCAAAAAGACGGCTGCAAGTAGGACTCTGGCTGGGCGTCCTCGTACAGACGCTGATAGGCCTGGCCGCGAGGCACACGCGACAGGCGCTGCAGCTATGCCGTCTAGAGCGCCGGGCTCGTGAGACACTTGCTGCTTACCAAGGTCAGCCCCAGTTCTGCAGTATGCATTCATCCTCCAGTGCTAAGTATGCATTTGTTCTTCCCTTTCCCGCTAAAATCTAGAACCGTCTTCGCAGCAGGCCGCCAGGTTGCGCGCAGCTTGCTGTCACAACAAATGCCACAGCAAGCAGTGTGTGGCTAGCCTGTGAAAGATCCGCGTTAGACTTTTGAGCTTGCCTTCCCACAAACCTTTGCTATCCTAGAATAGAATCCACCCCTGTCAAGCAAAAACAATCGATAACTTAAACGCATCTCCAAGCTGTGCTCGGCAGTCAAGACGTGGCCACGGACCCGTTGCTTCTTCTTCTTTTTTCTGACAGGGCTCCTTTGCTTCACAATCAGGGCGCCCGTGCCAAACACAAAACGGGGGTTCTTAATTCCAGTGCAGCTGAGCATCAGCTTGATTTTTTCTTGCACCTCGCGTATGGCCTGCTCTCCTGGACTCCGTTGCCCGTGAAACAACAAGGCAAACAGAGCACAAAGGCATTCGACAACATATGTTGTCAAATCGTTGCCCTCAGGGGGCCTAAAACACATCAAAGCCAGACCTCCCACTTCTTGAAGCTTCTCTGCTAGCACCGTGACCTCAGCTTTACATGACGCCGCACATGCCGCTGCTGATTGTGGCCTGAACAGGAATCGGACCTGTTGGTTCAACTCTGCAATCTTGTTCTCCAAGTCCACCTTCTCCTCAGGAAGCAAGCGCTCGCCAAAAGTAGGCTCCGATCGTGACCCCAGAATCAGTTCCAGCATGCAGCCAAGACACGTCCTCAAGTAGCATGCACTTGTCCTTCCAGTCACTCTCGTTTGCGTCGTTGGTGGCGACCTTTTCTTTTTCCTTCTCAACTGTGACCACTCGAGCTACCGTCCGAACATCTGGGCCTGGGCTGTCAGAGGGTTTCAACTGAAAAGGTAGCATTGCGCGTTGCAGCTCTGCAAGCCGCCGGCTTTCCTTTGACAAGGTGGGCTTTGAGGCCTCCAGTACCAAGCATGAATCACGTCAATAGCTGCCATGGTAGAACTGAGCAACAGCCTTGGATTCACTTCTCTCTTCCTTGGAATCTAGCGTTGCCTGTGCCCGCTCAGCCTGCACAGCAGTCCTATGACTCGACGCAGCCCTTTCCAGATTTGACACACTTTTCTAAACTCTCAGCCAGGCAGTTTGAACACCGTCCAGCACATCCACCAAGCATCCATCGCAATTGGGGCAACCTGCACAAGCACACTGAAATGTTTGATGTTGCGCGTGCCTGTTGCAGGGTCATGGAAAAAATCGTGCAAGAATCTTTTAGGCGCTGATCGGCGCTGTCACGATTGTGGCTGCGATCTTTGCCACTCAGTACTGAGTAGCAATGAATCATCGCGGTGCAATATGCCCCTGAATCTGCCGTTGTAGGGGCTTGAAGCATAGCATGTCATACCGTGGTATCTCGAATCGGCAGGTTCACGGAGCAAGAGCTAGCTGCTGCTAAGACTACATGACTGCCAGCTGTTGGCCATGATCAACACAAGATGTTACATGACCTAGCCTGGATGAAGCGAAGAGCTGGCACGGCGGCCTTTGCAGACAGCGCTGGCTGCCCCTGTGACTGTGCTACGAAACAGGGCAAGCCCTCCCAGTCTCCTTTAGTATTAGGCTTGCTGACTCTGCAGTGTCCTGCGATATCTGCAAATGCCGGACGCTGGCGCTTCCCCGGAGAGGAGAAGGCGCTCCATTCCGGCGGGTCGGATTTGAATTTAGCTAACCTTCACCACGGGGAAACCTGCAAGTGGCACCAAATACATCCCAAACTTTATCCAGTCCTTTCGGAAAATGTGCCGTGCTGGCTTCCACCAGGTATCAGACATGGCATAAGACTTGTGAAACCGGGAAGGCCCTGTCACCCAACGACATAGCTGGCCACAGCTGGAGAAACCCCTTCAAACAGGTCATGCCGTTTAACTCACGTTTCCGTGCAACATGTCACTGCGCTTCGAAGTGTGATATCAGGTAGACTTCGAAATGCGACTGGCATTGTTCATCACGGAGTGGGGCTGTGCACGGGTTTTCCGCACACTCGCTGAGTGCATGAGCTGGTGAGACAAATCACAAACCATGGCGCCCCCAACCACCGCCACAGGTCAAGAGAGCTGTTGGCCTTCCTTGTAAATGACGTTCAAGAATCCCTGCGTGATTTGAAATTGCATGTAACTGGCACATGTGACAGCTTGCCTGACCTGGGGTGCTGAATCGCGGGAGGTATTGCCAGGTCATCATTAGCAACATAAGCTTGACCAATCCTTCAAAGCGGTCGCTTCTGGATCTGTCGCCTCAGCTGCACGCCGTTGAGCTCAATTTCTGTCGTTTGCCCCATCCCTCACGCACCAGCAGGGCTGTCAGCCAAAGCAAGAAGTGCAAAGCCGAGCAGCCGCTACTGCGAGTGTGTGTGGTACGCCTTATGGACACTGGCGGAGTGGCACGAGCAATTTCACAAGAGTGGCTCTTATGGCCAAGATGCACCACTATTGGTCGCCCGCATACCTCAAGAGTCAAGAGGCTACAGATCATTGACTTTCTGGTCGAAATCTGGCTTGCTGACAGGTGGCTGCCAGAATGCGAGGAGCCTCTCCGCTTGGGTCCCATCGTCGAGTAATACTCATCCTTTGAGGTAAGACCGACAAGCAGCCAACACACAACAGGGCAGTCAGCAGATGTCCGTGCTTGATTGGACATCAGAAAAAGCATGATGCTGCAGCAATGCGGGCAGGCGGCTGCAATCTGGCGCACGGTATCTCGAAGCAGATCATGAATCTCCTCCTTGCTCGTGCCGTCGCCAGAGGGCAAGCGATCCTGCAAAACTTCTATCGCTATATAACCCTCAGGGAATATGCTGGCAGAAGAACTGAAGCAAAAGAAAGCAATACAGCAGAAGCGCCTTTGACGGGCGGAATCTCCTTAATGCTTTGCAGAGATTCTCGAGCATGCCCGATTGTCAACAGAGGTGTTACTCTAGAGAAGATCTTCAACTTGTGTCTCAGTATGCCTTCGTGACCTTGCCACAAGTCCTCTTGATGGACAGCAAGTGAGGCGCAATGGTTCTGAGACCTGGACGGCTGATTGCTGGAGCCGGCACTGGGAGAAGTGACCATACTATTCGACCTCAGGCACGTAAGCAGGCGAACGGCGCATCAAATTCCACGACGCTGAGATTGCGCAGCGAAGAGCTAAGCTCCAGACTTCCGTAGCAGAGAGCTTGCCTCAGCCTGCGCCTGCCATCTTACGATTTCATACGAATTCACATGACCAGGCGTGTGGAGCCACGGCCCTGCAAAGCCCGAGCCCGTTTTGCTGCAATACTTATGGGCTCTGAACTCAGCGCTGTTATTCGCTGTTGCGTGTTTGGCGTAAGGGGGTGAAATTACATGCGTCAAGGAAACCCTGCTTTTCATTTAAGCTTGCGATGCATTCTTGATGTCGCTTGTCCATGCTGCCATGTTCAATTTGACGTATCTTTATTGCATTCCTGCACACTCTTCAGCTTGTAGCGAATGTCCCTGTGAGCTCCTCAGGCCTGACTAGCGCCCTGCGTAGGGGTTCCTCCGCGTTTGTTTCTCGCTAATTGCTGTGAGGTCTGGCAGGCCTCTGTTCCCCTATACTTCAAGCTTGGCACGGCATCCAAAGCCAACAATCTACAATTACGAGCAGAAGCCCTATCAAGATGGTTGCCCTTCAATGCACATCAAGTTTCCCTCTGGCTCTCTCGATGACAGGTGCAGTGCCTTGGCTTGCTTCTCAAGCACCCAGTCAATGTCCAACTTCTCCTGGCATCTGAGCTATGCAAGCAGCACCTGCACCAGTGCTGACCTTTGCGCCTGACATCCTTTAAAGTCTCAAAATCTAAAACTCCCTGCGGGCTCCTCGAACTCCTGCCGCGACACCTGCCCCGTGTTGTCGGCATCCATTTCTGCCCACAGGATCATTCGATCGGCCTCATTTACCTCAGTACAGGAGTGCTGACATGGCACCCGAGGGCGACCAGGCAATACGTTCAATATTACTATGGTTTGCGCTAAGCCTGGGACTCCCAAAAACTTCAGCACCCACTCGAAGGACTTGGCCTTCAAAATGGGCTCCTCACCTGGCATCCTCAGCAAAACGGGAACAGCACCCATCAACGCGCTCAGCTGGTGACTGCAGCCAAGCCACACGTCCGGACCATTCCCCTGCTCACAGAACCACTCGAAGGCTTCCTCTGTGCTGAGGACTTTCACTTTCCTCAGCCACTTCCGCACAGTGTCTTCGGCATTGCCAAGTTACCGCGGGCCAAGTTGTTAAAGACCCAGATCCCAAGAAAACTAAGAGCTCACAGTGAGATTCCGTAGCAGTCGCTCAGCAACGTTTTGCCATGTGGTCGACGGCCTTGGGTCACAGTACGTCGGAAAGATGCCATTTTGGGGAGACATGCCTTATGCTGCCACATCTTCTTTTTGTGTTGAAGCCAGATGAAGCGCAAGAGCTAGGCGGCAGACTCTAGCTTGAAGACACGCACCATTGACTGCACCAAGGTTGTGAAGGCCTTGGCAAGCGAGTGCTCAGTGCCGTTCCAGCTAGCTGGGCTGTGCTTGCGCTTGCTGCGCATAGCAAGGACCCTTGACGATGCACGCAGCAAGTGGAAATGTCGTGGCAAATCGGCTAATTTGTTGGTGGAGAGAAACAATTCCAGTTAACAAGCCTCCGGGTACTCGTCCCGCATGATCTCCACGGTCTGGTAGGGCAGCACCTTGAAACAGGCTAAACAGCCGTCCTCATGAACAAGACCCGCAAAGACTGCAAACAGTCGCAAGGTGAGGCACCGAGAGGACACAGTAGGTCTTGGCCATGATCCATGCCGCTCTTGGCCGCGCCGTCAACATCCCGAGCTCGCCGAAATACTTCCCAGCTGTATATTCCTGAAGCTGGCACTGGTTGCATGCAATAAAGCTTAAGCAGCATAAAGGCAACTTACTCTGAGTTGTTCCAAAGCGTCGGCCACTTCAGAGGACTCGCCCCAGACTGGCGGGCATTCTGGGCCACTGGGGTAGACGCCTCAGCAAAGACATTTCGTGCGACTCCAAATTATTGGATTTAAATTGGAGGCATACGGTCCCAGCCTGCCATGCCACGGCGCATGAAGAAGAGCTCCCGGCCTGTATCGCCTATAGGCCAATCACAAGTTCAAGCACGGATTCTGAGGCAATAGCCTGGGTGCATCTCTGCTGCTCAGGCACCACTGCAAACAATGAAGTCGGCGGGCAAGTAAATCAGGTCAGACAAGGAATTAACCATCAAGGAGATAACCTCGAATGCAACCGTTCTGCAGAAACGTTTGCCAGATGGGGACTTAAAGACTTAATCTGCAAAGTATCATTTTGCCCCAAGCCTAGCCAGGACATCATGAACGAATTGTCGTCTGTTCCAGTCCAGGCCGCATGTTTTTTCTGCTCCCTGAGGAAGGGAGCCTTCAGTATCAACTTTCTGTAGGCCGCCAGCCGAAGCTCCTCAAGAAAGAAAATGGTCAGATGGGGAGATCAACCACATGCTGGTAGATGTAGGGCAGTGAGCTGGACAGAGCCTGAATGAGCGGTGTGGATAAGCCGTGAAATGCGGGTTGATCAAGATCTTCTTCCCTGTGGACGTGCTGAACAAAGCTTTGGTAGGCCAATACCTGAGCAACACCAATCTGGAAGCAGCTTCCATCAAAATTGCGTGACCTCAATGTAGGCGAGAGGCTCGCTCCTCCAACGATCCGGGCACCTGACAAATCCACTCCCGCAACCAGACTGCTGGGCTTGGTGGTGGACTAAATGAATTTAGAGACCTCTGGTATAATTATCAACCTCAAAGCTGTGAACATCCGCTCTTCGTAGTGACCGCCTGGAGGTGACGAAGCGCCACAGATGTCTGTGCTTTCTGCGACTGGTTCCTGGGAGGCACGCTTTGTGGAAGCAGCCGGGCAGACAGTGTCGCCTTGAGCACAGTTTTGTAAGTACCCAGTGCTGCCCAAGTGCTTTGTCTCCTCTATGTTGTGCAAGGATGTCAGCCAGGTCACGTCTGCACAGACCTGTTTCATCGGTCAATTCCTGTCTGTTTTGCTTATGTCGTGAGCAGTTGTGTCCTGCCTTTGCAACGAATAGCTGCCCGAGGATCAGCAAAATGGAATTCAGGCCCCTCTCCGCTGGAGTTACCAGGACGTCACCTCAAAACGACAGCAGCATTGGCAAACACTCAGACTTCAGAAGCTTGCAGCACAGCAGCCGTATCCCACTGAGGTGACACCTGAGAAACAGGGGCCAAGCTGAACAAGCTCCGAAAACTAGCACTCCGCCCAGCGCGCAGCGCTCTCAATGCGTGGCAAGCGGCTGAGCGCACTGAAATAAAAAGCCTCTGTATATAGTTCCACGCAAGTCTCGCCATCGGCTATCATATTGTCGATCCAACCTGGGCACAGGGTGCTCTACAACAGAAAGATGATCAGCATCAACAGAGCGTGCAAAATTGAGTTGTGCAACTTTGGCTGGCTGCCGCCCGTTCCTGCGTTGCCAAAGCCAGAAGCCTTGGACCACGCTGGTTGTGTCATACTCGCTATACACAACATAAAGTATAGAGCCTAACCGATGAAATGGAAGGTGGGAGTTCTGCGTGGAGGCCTTTGTATAGAGATGTCTCATGTTTTTTTCTTGCAACTGCTGAAAAGCTCGGATTGCAAGGCTCGCAGAAAAGGGGAGCCTGCAGTCCTGACATGTCGCAGGACTGCCAACCAAAAGAGGATTGCTCCGACCCAGAAACAGCAATGAATGTGAACTCAATGTGATTTCTGAGGACGTCAAGTCAAGTCTGGACGCTGAGACTGCTACTGGGAAGTTGCTTACACATCTGCTGCTTCTCCCACGGGGATGGCACTGAGATCATTGTTCCCGGATGAAGGGGACACGTGATTTGCACACCTACTAGGTAGGCTGCTGGTGGGGGCTACCCATGCAGGCAAGGCACACAACTCCGGCCAGATGCGACATCAGAACGAGTAGAAAAAACGAGCTCGCTAGTCCTCTGGCGAAGGAGTCCGCTCGGCTGTCCCTGGGAACATGTTTGTGCGCTCTCCAGCTCCGCTAGGCTCCGCTAGCACCAAGTTGTCAGCCAGCTAAGACCCCGGCAACACAACAGTGGTCGGTACGACGAAGCGCCACAGCTTGGCAACTTGCAGCAGCATCATCCACATTGCGACGCTGGGCACCTGAGTCAGGCAGAGGTCATGACTCCTCAGATAGCAGTACTGTAGGGGTAAGTAAGGCTTCGGCATTGGCGCTAGATTCGCCGAGATGCACCATCCTTTGCAGCTTGACATGGACTGTAACTTGTAGCCTGCCAAGTTGGGTACTTCCAACGCTTGAAACTGCTGTCAAGCATCTCTGCCACCCAGCCAAAAACGGCCAACACATCCAAAGACAGGCTTTTCAAATGGAAAGCGCACCTGAGGTTGGTCTGTGTGTGCGATTTTGACTGCGCTCTTGTCGGACAAGTTCAAGTGCAGAAAAGGCAAGAGCTACTGGCAAGTCAACAGCACATTAGCAGCACAAATCACCTGCATGCCATTTTACTGTACCGCATAAAAATACACATACCGTCAGGCAGCCAGCCCAGGTTGCGGGGAGACTGCTGACACTAATGAAACAACTCATGCCCTACGTGCTTTGCACTTGCACGATACTCCCTCCACACGAAGGATGTAAAAGACTAGGTGAAGCCATCAAAAAGGGGACGCATCTCTAGCATGTCTATGCCACACACGGCTTGAGTCGATCACATCCGGCACAGGAAATCATTCTTCCTTGTACCAGACCTAGGCCTCACCCTGCATCCTGAATGCTGTCGAATTCCAACTGTGCCTGCCTGGCCTGAAATCGAACCACCAGCACTGCACAACGGAGGGCAGTCTGGCAGGTCGAATGTGCACTAACCGCAAGTGGAGCTGGACCCCTTGCAAAGACGATGTGAAACTGAATGAAACGCTCCCCGGCACTGGCTTCTGGCCGCATACCCCCAGAACTTGCGATTTTATGTTTCTGACGCCCTTGGCCGGGTGCATACGCCAAGGTGCTGCTCTCAAACCAACCTAAGTACCGATTCAGCCGCTCTCAGATCTCAGCCATACTGAATGTCATCTACGTGTCCAATGACGTCAGCATTGCCACACCACGCTTGATCCAGTGGGATTGATCAACATCACTGATGATCTTGATTGGCATCACGAAATTCGTCGAATGTCCCGTAGTAGACAGCACCCCCTTCCTCGTTGAGACTTTGTAACACGGGCACTCATAGTGAGCGAAGTCGCGTATCTTGGTCTTTTCCTTGCTGCAGGGTGACTGGCGCGTAATTTGCTAGCTACATGCTTTTCAAGAGGCTACGCAGCTATACCCATTGCTCTTAGAAGCTGAGCTGTGGTCACATGGCATGAGGTGAATTAAGGGCACGCTGGCATAGAGCACTTTCGGCTCGGACTCTGCCAGCTTCCAATCTGTCCAATTCCACCGGCATGCCTCAAAGAATAAACCATACGTGTACACTCCGTCATCGGGCTTCTCCGTGAATTCCTGCTCCTTGGGATAAAAGAAGTCAAAGGTCAGAGTGTCAATCGGAATCTGATACTTTCGCGCAAAATTTTGCGAGGCCCCTGTCGTGAAGGCCTGAGTGAAATAGATGCCGCTGAACCAGAACATGACAGGAGCCCCATTGTCGACCCACTTCTGGAAGAACTTCAGGCGCTCGACCAAGTCATTGACGTAACCGCCCAGGGGCTTGAGGGATGGATAAGAATGCTTCAGCCACATCGCCGGCGTCTTGCCATCGAAAATCTCGAAGAATGCAGTCTCCAGATCAGCGCTCATTAGGAGAAGGCCCTTGACGGCCTTCTGGATGTCCTTGAGTGAGTTCTGTATGACCTTCAATAATCCGTTGAAACGCTTCAGCTCTTGTGCAAGCACGGTGTTCATGCTTTCCTCATACAGGGTGGGGTACTTCTCCTGCACCTTTGCGACATCCCATGGCTGCGGCAGCCGTGACAGCACATCTTTTGCAATCTCCCCGACCACGACGTCTGGAGAGGAGCCACCGCCACTGCTGCCGGAACCTGCAGTGAGCAACAGTTCCCTCATCATATTGTAAGTCTCCCCCATCTCCTTTGTCAAATTGGCATTTTCGTGGAAGCCGAATACTCCAGGCGGCGTCACAAGCGGAAGGCTCCGGATGTGCTCCAAATGCACTTCATATCCACCATCCGGTGGCAGCGTGTATGTTGGACCACCCTCTTCTTGGTAGAGCACGAAACCATCCCCCAGAGCCTCACTGCAGTAGTAACTCTTCAGAAGAGTGGCAAGGAGCCGCCGATCCATTGCCTCAGTCACACGACCACCATAATTGCACTCGCCCGTGAGGTAGTTCAACGCTTTGATTGGAGCCTCATTCGGATATTCATCCAAGAACATTTGCAGCTGTCGGACTGAGATGCGCAAGTCATTCTCAGTGAACCTTAGTAGCATCAAATCAGTGTGAAAGTGGCTGAAATCTGAGGGAGCCACATTTTGTATAATTATGCTTTCTGCAGGCAGGAAGCTCATAGGCAATATTCCAGCCTAGAGGACCAAAGAGCCTGCGTTCCTGAATGACGGCGTGGAAGAAACAAAGATTGAAGGCCAAACGCTTGAATTCCCGTCCGCACGTACATGCTTCAAAGAACTCCTCATTGCTAATGGGGTCCATGTTGTATGAGCCGGTCATGTTTGCTCGCAAGCCCTTCGGAGCTTCGTTCGTCATCTTCACACCATTCTGAAGGATCGCGACAGGGAACCTGAGCGCAAACCACACCCGCTTCTGTGTGACTTCCCTCTATGCGCAGCACAAACATGAATCAAGCGCCAGTCTTCACGAGTTACGTAGTTTTACAAATAAGCGGCTTGTTGGACGGGTAAGACGTCAGCCATAGGCGGAAATCCTTGTGTACCTTCTTCGGGTCCTTCTCGTCCAATAGCCTCTCCAGTCTGGGCATCCAGGAGGTTGCCAGGTGGCAGTTCTGCAGCAGGACCCATCCACCATCCTGCATGACACAGACGCATTGCGTGGCACATCTCATCAAGCCACAGCTCAAGGCTTAACCGGCCTAAACGGTTGGGTGGCAAATGACTTAACAAGCTGTCCTTCATGGCGATGTCCATCAGCCGCTCGGCTTTTGGGCCCTGGCCTTGCCCGAGGGAGATGGATGCAACCTCGCGGCTCTTCCTTAGCAAAACACTGTGCACGCGGGAAACACAAGCCCCTGCTAATGAGCAAGTGCTGATGAGCAAGTCTGCAGGCAGCTAGGGCTGGCCAAGCATCTCTGATGCAAAGCGGTACAGATTGCTTCCTGGGTCTGCACCAGGAGATAAGATGAAGATGAGTGGAGACATGGCCTCGGAAACCAGATGCGCTGAACCATCACAACTGGTGCAGAGTGTGTGCTGCACACGCTGCCTGCATGTGCTAACCAGTTAAGCCGCATTCGAGTCCGAATATGATCCCGCCAAGTCGAAGGGTGGAGGGTTAACGAACTTCTCGCCCAACTTGCCTGCGACAAACTCGAGCACCGCAGGGACCACGCGGTCTGGGCGGATACACCGAAGGACCATCAAGTCCTAGATCGCGGGGAGTGCTGTCATACAAGCGGTTCTGACTGCTTGGCATGCTTTGCTATCATACAGGAGAAGCCAAGAATCTTGGAAGTCATTGAAGCCATCCATAGAGCTAGGTCGCGTCTCAGCATCTTTCAAGAGCTTCATAGGGTTGACATCGTCATAGACCTGAGGTAGACACTGCAAATTCGGAAGGCTATTCATCACACCGGCATGAAAATGCAAATGAGTAGCCTTCCTCCACACCGACAGCTCTGCTGCAAACTTCTCGTGAAAGCCCTGGTAAAATTCCTTGCTCTTGTTCAGCCTAAATAGCTCTCCCCAGCACCGGTCTGGCACCCACGCGGCTGGAAGAGGTGGGGGATCTTCCAGCGACACGCCCCCAGTGAGCAAAAAGCGATAATCATCGTAGTCAGCCTCGTCTGATGCCAGGAGCAGGCGCATGCAGAGCAGGAATGAGAAGAGGGTTTTGTGCTTCTCGAACAAGCTTCGGCAAATATTGCAGTACAAAGTGTAGCGGAAAGTGTCATTCAAATTCTCAATGCGCACTGTGAGATCGTCGCTCTTTTCTGCCTTGTCTATTGCAGACAGGAAAAGGCTGACGAAGAAAGGCAGACTGTATTGATACATCGGATCAATGTTGGCCAGGTCAGAGATGCAGAAGAAGAGAATGGCTGTTTTGAAAGCCACAGGCACGTAGCCCAGGCGAGCCTCGTCAATCTGCTTCTCAGTCTCCTCTGCAATCTCCTGCTTTGCCGCGATCTTGTTGGACAGGGCCTGGCCACATAAGCGGCAGAGATAATGCAGCAAACTGAAGAAATGTGAGGAAGGCGACTCTTTTTAATGGCATATACATTCAAGTGCCTGGCCTTGCTGGAGCTCAGTACGTTGATTGCGGTTTCGTCTTCCAGAATATTGCCCTGTGAGGTCTGCAGGACGTGGAGGATTTTGTTCTCCGTCTCTTCCAGCTGTGCCTTGTTCTCGGCGCCTTCAATGACTAGCCGCGCCTTGTCCTCAGCTAGCTCCGGACGTTCCGCCTGAACCACAATGTTCAGAAGCTGGTCCTGGCGAGAACCCAAAAAAAGAAAAGCATCATCAAAGCACGATGCCTGCGAGTAAGATCGAGTAAGACAGGCAGCGTCAGTCCTGAAGGCCCACAACTGTGATCATGAAGTTAAGCAGCGTCACCTTCACGGCAATCTCAGGCAAATAATGAGGATTCCTGAGCTTTGTGGTCAGGTAGAACTTGAAGTCCTTGTTGTACTCGAGAACAGTCTCGCCCAGCTTCAGCATCATTCGGTTTCCCTGCTTGTAGGTCTGCTTTAGAAGGACGGGCTCGATGGCGGGATCTGTCTCCTCGAGGATGTTTTCAACCAGCATAGGATTGCCATAAGTAATGCAGCCCTCAAGGCGTCTGATGTAATCGCTGTCTGTAAACTTCTTGACAGCCAGCTTGTTCGCTTCCTCCATCTTCTTGATCCACTTGTTTGCTTGCCCTTGAGGGTCAATGCAAAGAGGCCACCTGCGAGACTTGTCGATAATGATTCCATTCTCAATGGAGAAGGCATCATTTGGCAGCCCACAAATGGTCCAATTGCGGATCTTTACTGGCTCTCCCAAACAGTCCTCCAAGCTGACCTTTTCCTTTCCAGGAATTTGCTTTCCAAGGGACTGTTCTGTCCACGACTTCACCGTCTTCTCCCTGAAGTCTGGTGTGAATGCACCAAGGTAGGCGATCAAACCGCTGCAGACGATCACATCCCCCGTTAGGTTGACATAATCTACTGACAAGTCTGCAGCGTTCTGTGTCCAGCGTGTCTTCTCACCCCCCAGAGACTCGATCAGCGTCTCAGCACGGTCCAGCTTCTTTTTGCAAAGGTCCACCTGAAAGGCTAGGTCATCTTTCTCGGCATTCAAGCCGTTTAGCTTGGCCTCGAGCTCAGCAAGTTCATCCAGGACTTTCTGAAGCTGAGCCCTCTTTTCATTCAGCTTCTCCATGACCTCTGCATACTCAGCCTCAGCAATTGCGAGAGCCTCTTTCTTTGGGCCCACAACCTTTGCCACCCTGTCATACGTCTCCATGGCCCTCACCCACATGCAAATGCCCCAGGCAGCCGTGCTGCAACTTTTGACTCGTGCGGGCTGGAAATCATCTAGGGGCACAAACGTTTGGATTTTCTTGATTGTGGCCGGGGGTATGTTGTCCTTGTCAAATGTTTGCAAAGATCTGAGGAAGTCGGACTCGCCCACCATCTTGACAGAAGGCCCCCAGAAGTCCTCAGCCATCTTGCCGGACTCGTCCTTCACTCGATTTGGCTTGATGCCCTTCATGATGCAAACGGCTTGTAAGACCAGCTTGACAGGACCAGGTGGATTCTTCATTGCTTTGATCTCACCGATATCCTTGGCAGATAAGGTATCAAGCGCACCAAGAGCCTCCATCAGGGCAGGCATTGCTTCTTGCAGGTCTGCCTCAACTTCCTCCTTCTGCGCCTCCGACTTTGCAGCTGCCTCTGAGGCGACAGCCTCGTCTGCTGCGACCGCCTCCTTCACCTTTGCAGTTTTGGCAGACTCACCTTCGACAACCACCATCATCTTTTCAACCTCCTCATTCTTTGCAATGAGCTTTGGCTGCAAGTTGATGAGCTCCACCTTCATCCCTTCAACGGACTGCTCCGTAGTGAGGATTTTGTCGAGGCCCTTTTCGTACTTGTCTTTGAGGTCTGTGACCTGCTTTCGCTTGGCCGCAAGCAGTGTTTTGAAAGTTTGGATCAGCTCCAAGAAGGAGGTTGGGGTTGCGTAGTAGATGCGCTTCAGGCTGTTCTTGAACTCTACCGCCAATTCCGTGGTCTCAGAGTGGAACAAAGAACACATCTCCACACAGCTGTGTCTCACAGCATCCTCCATCTCGACCTGCCCAAGAAATCGCTCAGCCACTGCAACCAAAGCATCTGCAGGCCATTCCGTGTACCAATCAATGGTGCAGCAGTTCACCAAGGAAGGAAACTGGCGAATCCGTGCTCGCCAGGCATCTCCAATGGGAGAGAAGCAAAGAACGATGGCCAGCAACTTTTGGCATCTCTCCACGAAATATGCGTAGAGCTGCGTGGGTGTGCCCTCTGGCGCCTTTCCTTCCTGTCGAGCGGCTGCTCGGACCATCTCACAGATCTGGACTCTCTCATCGGGAGGGAATAAATTCGGAACTTCTCCCGTGTTTAGGAGGTTGTTGAGGTCCTCCACGAAGCCTTCGCTCTTGATCTGAGAATCGGAGAACAGGAAAACTGTCTTTTCTCCCTTTCCTCCGGCTGCTGTCAGGAGCTTCTTCAAGTCTTCTCGGAACGCCAGCTGATCATAGCCGCGAGCTATTTCAATCCTGAGCAGAGCACATAGCGGCCGAAGCTATCTGAAGCCTACTTGAGACCTACCCGAACAGGGTCAGATGGCTGCAGCCAAGGCTCTGGAAGACATCGAAATCGGCAAGGAAGCATGCCAGTCTTGAGCAACTCTGACGACCAGATCCACCCACACCAACCAGGAGCGCATTGCCACCGGGTGTTTTGATAACACGAGCGACCCGAGAAAGATGTTCCAGCATGTAAAGGAAGCACACAAGGTCCATCTTCTTGGTGGACATGAGATTGTACTGCTCCAGGTGCGACTCTACCGTCGTCTGAAGTGTGGGAATGTCGGGACACTCCGTGTAAGGCCGATTGGGGGCAGCTGGCTGGGAGAGCATGTCTCCAAAGATCAGCGTGCGGATCTCATCCAACGTGGTAACTTTTCCGTCGCCATCGTTGTCCAGGTGCTTCATTACCTCGTCGAAACCTTGGCCGAAGATGTTCTTCGTGACTCCACGAACCTGCTCCAACATCCACATGCGGTCCTCGTTTACCACCAGTCGGTCCCCAATTACACGCCATATCTCGTGCACCCACAGTCGCACATGTCTTGCAACACCATCGCACTCATTCTTCTTGAGCAGCAGAACTCCAAAGATGATCTTGGCAAAGTCTCTCAAATTGAAGGTGTAGTGCACCTGCTGCATCAGGGAGGGGGTTGCATCAGCAAACAAAGATAACGAGCTTCAAGGACACAAATCCTAAGAATAGCATTTCTCCCGCCTTCAGTGGCGTGGGTAAGAGGGAGGCAACAGCCGCCTTGTAAACCTCCAAGGTGCCAGACACAATCTTTTTGGAAAGTGAAGTGACCTCTGCAGGATATCCGTCTGCTTGCATCTTCCAGTCCAAGATCGTTGAGAAAATCATCTTCATGTTGTCCTGCAGAGCTGGAAACATTAATGGGCAGTCTCTTCCTAGCTCTTCATGCAGAGCGGTCACAACAAAACTAAAAAGGCTCTCATGCGCGGACTAGGCAAGGCTCATCATCAAGCAGCGGGAAGCCAACCAGGTATAAGTGCCCGCTCATACGGGGCGTGATGAACGTGCGTCCACCACCCGGAGGGCCCATGGCTGCAAACAGCAACACGTCGATGATGTTGCGGAACGGGTGCGTGACATCTTTGCGCTCAAACCAGCCCCCAGTCTCAGGATACGCTTTCGCATCAATCATCTGCCTCAAAATCTCGATGGGCGGTTGTGCGCCGTAGGTCTCTTTGTTGGGCATGTTCAGGTCGTCGACCATCAGCACACACAACTTGCCCAAGGGCGGCCCGTAGACACCTTTTCTTCGCCGGTCAAGCTTGGCATCAATGAGATCCTGCGTTTGGGCGCATTTTGTCTGAGCGGAGAAGCCCATCATGATCTGATTGAAGCCATCCTTTGGCAAGCCCATGAGACACTGCTGCATATATGCCGTTTTGCCTGTGCCAGTTGGGCCGCAGAAAAGCAACTTGATGCGATGCTTGATACAATGATTCAAGATGTAAGTGTAGCGCACACTGTCTAGTGTCTGCACAATGATGGACTCCACGGCTGAACCAGGCTTGATTGTCTGGGGGTCAACCGTGTCCATCCAGCCGATCCACTTTATTTCCTCTGCCATGAAGATCCAGTCATAAACAGAGCCGCGCTCCGGGAACTCTGGCGTCAGCTTCTTGTATTGCGACACACCCTCAATCTTTCCTTGGAGCAAGCCACGCAGGAACGTGCCAAACTCTGGCCTAGAGTTTGTCTGCAGGATGCAGCCTATCGACCAAATGACGCTCAGAACAACCACCGCATCGATCATGTTGATGATGTTCTTCTTGCCTGTCGCCTCATTACCCTCCACCTTTTTGTAGACATCCAATGCCAAGAAATCTTTCAGGTGAGACATCAGGATATACATGAAGCTTTGCACAATATTCTGATCTTGTGTGGGCGACACCTCAGCGCACTCTTCTCGAAGGAACTTGATGCAAGGCTTCAACAGCCATTCAGTCATAGCTCTGACCTCATTAGCTTCATCTTCCTCAAGGATCTCGGGCATCCCTCCCAGAAAGTTCTTCTCCACGAGAGGGTCGATGCCCATCAAGTGTGGCTCAAAGAATACCATGCCATTGCGAGAGATTGTTGCCGGAGAGGCCTCACACAGCTTGCCCCTTGTCATGTTCTATTTCAGATATCAAAAACTCGTGATAACCCTACTACTGGCCTCATTCACATCCATAGGCTCCATGATGGTGCGCATGTTCGGCGACATAGCAATGATCTCGCCACTGTTCAGGCACAGCTTCTTGTTCTCGTCCATGACGGTGTTCATGTTCTCAATCCAAACCGCATCAATCGGCCCGTCAAACACCAACCACTTGCGCTCTTCTGTCTGATTACGGCCGAACTCCCTGAAGAGTACAGCAACAATGCCATCAGCCCACTCCTTGGAAACTTCATCGAACGTCCCGTAGAGGCACGGAGCCGGTATACTCTTCGGGTTTAGACGCGCCTGGTCCGATGGGAATACGCACACCACACACACAAGCACATAAAAAAAACTCAGAACAAAAAAAAAAAGAGTCCTCCCATGGCAGCTCCAAACATATGACCAAATATGATAATTTGTTCAATGAATGTATCAGCCAGGCCTGGTGCACGATGCAACCCGCATGCATGACTCCTTCATTGGCCAGATCGCTCAGGGTCTTCTGCAAACAGCTCAGGGCCGTGGTCTTGCCACTGAAGGGCATTCCCACCAGCATCACGCTGTGGCGCACAATGTGACACTCATAGAACCTGGGAGGAAAGGCAGCTTCAAAGGCGCATGACAGAAACACAGGTGCCCAGGGTAGGCCCAAAGTTTCTGTTGCCAAGAAGCTGAATGATCTTCTCGATGAAGTAGGGATGCGGTTGGCAGTGCTCTTGGCGGAGGTGGAATTCCAATTTGGAAGTTAGAGCTCCAAAGTCGGGTTCAGGAAGCACAACTCCGGGGAAAAGATCAGAAGTGATACCCTTGAACAGCGGCACGTCAAATGCCAAGAATTTCGCTAAGTTAACGTCGCAGATTGAGCGCAGCATCAAGATGTCCTCCTTCTCGGTTGGGTACTTGCGCTTCAGATTGCCCGCAGCAACGAGCACCGAAAAGACAGCCCGCATTCCATAGTCATAGTGCTTTTGAGATGAGAGCTGCTCGCTGCAGAGCTTGTAGGTGGTCACAATCTTTTGCGAAAGTGGCCTGGCCTCTGCGTAACCGTAAGAGTACAGCTTGATTTCTGCGATCATGGCATAGTCTGGAACCATCATGGCAACTGTGCGGAACAAGGCTTTCAAGTTGTCTGGCAGCTCTGCACGGCCCGCATATCCAGGGTTCATCGTGATGAAGCAGTTGCACGTCCACTTGATGGGCAAATTTGCTGTGCCTTCAAACTCGAAGCAGGTGAGCCGCGCCTAGCCGCCAACAAAACCCAAGATCGCCCAAGACCCAAAATCAAGTGCCCAAAGCCTTACTGCTAAACAGTGGCCTTGATTGCATTCTGAATCTGCAAGATCTGCTGCGCGATCACACTCAAAACCTCAGCATCGATGCGGTTGAACTCGTCGAAGCAGGCCCATCCGCCCGAAGAAGCCAAGCCTTTGAAGAACTTTGCCTGGAGATGCATTCCAGCTTCCTACTAGAAAGGGCACTCTCCAAGGTGCTGGCAACTGAGGCCAAGACCATCGCATTGACATCCAGCTCATCGCTGCAATTGAACACCACGCAGAAGCGGGCCAGCGCCTGCCAGAAGAATGCTCAAAGACTGACGTTTGGTTCTGTCCAGCAAGCCAGGCCTTCGCAAGATCCTTGACTGTCTCCGTTTTGCCTGTGCCCGCGGGGCCCTCAGGTGCAGCGCCGTAGAGCAGGTGCAGTGCCCCGCAGCAGGTGCCTTTGCTTTCCAGACTGTCCGTACTCCCTCCCTAACAGCACTCTTCCCTTCTTCTCGCTCCGCTCGTGCTGCACCTCTCCAGCGCGCTGCTGTTTCCTGTCGTTTTGGCCTGTGGGAGTTTCTCATCTGCTTCATTTGGATATCAGGGGGCCATGCTAAGCAGTAGGTCAAAAAATGATAAACGTGCCCTCAGATTGGTGGCCTACTGCGGGGTTGGCAGTTCCGCAAACATAAGGTGTGCCCGGTGGCAACTGCCGTGCATGCAGCTAGTGGGCCAGATGGACGTCGTGCCAGTGTCTTCAATGACACTGGATTTGTTTGCGGGTTGCTTCTTTGGCTCGTGGCCGGTTCGCAGTTCTCATTGAAGTCATTTTCCACGGCAGCGAGCCAGAAGATGTCAACGGCTACCACTCGTGGCTGAGATGAGGCTGGACAATGGTGAGCACAGGAAGCAAGCAATGAGGTGCGGAATGGTGAGGGGAGTTCGAAACACAACTTTACTGAGCGTGGCCATGAACATATTCGTGCAAGGACGGAGTTGGAGCCAACAACAGGCAACAACGTATCGAACGTCAACAGAAAGATGACTCAGTCATTGAAGCCAGCAACTGCAATTCTGAGCAACTTCTGACCTCACGATAATCACTTCCCCAGAATGAGTAGTCAAGTGATGAGGCAGTTGAACCAAAATTGCATGTTCTTTCTTCCTTGGCGCGGCGACAAGCATCTGTGTGTGTGCGCACGCAAATATTTGTGTTCTTTGTTCTTCTTCTCCTTCTTCTTCCTCCTCCAAGGCTAGGCCGCAAGGGATCTATGTCTATATGTCTGACGCTCTCTTCTCCCTTGGCTGCAGCAGACAGACATGCTGCCAACCTCCTCATGGCTTGCCTCCCGGAAACTTGCAGGGTACTTCCGGTGAACCTCAGGACTGCCTCTGTGGCCGCTCAGGTGTTTCCTTGGCATAGCCCGCGCATTCTCCCTCGCTTTCTCTGGACACGTTCTTTGCCTGGAGCTCTTAGGCTCTTCGCATTTGCACATATTTGCACGCTCATGAATGCAAGTCGACTCCCATGTCTCAGTCTTCTTCACACCTCATAACACAAGGCCTCTGCTTTGTGCCTAGGGCCGCGCAGGGCTATGCAGTGCATGCCATGCAAATCCACAAGCACTCCCAAACTAAATTCAAAGAGAGCGCGGTAGCAACGATCCGTCAACGGCGTCACCACCAGCCTGCCACAGTTCCCCAGGTACTCATAGGCATAGCCCAAGAAACTATTCGTGATGCGCACAAAGATGTCATCATGGCCAGGATTGTCCGGATTGTCTTCAATGAAGTAGCGGAGCTGAACCAGCCAATCAAAATCGGTGACTTCAGAAGTTCCACGCTCGCTGAGTTCAACTATTGTGTCCTTGTTGTGCACGAAGATGACTATCAAAGCCTCAAGCGTGCACCGGACAAGCTTCGGGATTTCTCGCCTTACCAGGCCGACGATCTCATCCAGTGTCTTGTCCAGCTTCATCGAATAATCACACAAGCCAGCATTGCCTCTTTCTGTGAGGGCCTCATTTACCTCAGAGGTCCAGTAGAGGTTGAAGATGCCAATCACCACCTGACCAGGCCATTTCTGCACCCAGTCGACGAACGGCGTGACCGCATAGTCATCCCTTGACTGGAAACTCTGGTCTCGGATGGACTCAATCATTGCGCCCTCTACTTGGACGAGCCACTTCTCCACAGCTCCATTGGCTGCAACTGGGTCCACGATGTTGGTAAGTGGCACGTTCTCCTTCTCGGGCGAAATCATTGCCGAAATGTTCATGTTCTCCTCGAACTGGAGGCTCTGCATGCCCTCAAAGCACTTCTTCACGTGAGCATTCACGCGTTTTGGGTCCTTCGTCTCGCTCAGAATTTCTAGAAGGTTGTCATTCGAAAGGAAGAAGAAGCGTGGAAAGAAGAGTCGCTTTGTTTCCAAGTAGTCGTTGAGGCCCTTTTGGACAGTCTCGAGTTTATCATTCGCGGCCTGCAGGTTCTCCAAGAACTTGTGCTGCTTGAAGACGACAAGTGCTTTGGGGTCGGCCGTGCTTCTGGCCATGATATCCCGCCAAGTACCATCCACCTCGCGGAAGAGGCGACCTTCTGTGGGCATCTGCTGCATGATGTCCTCTGAGGAGAAAATGGGTTCCAGATACAGCCAAACTCCCTGCACCTTGAGCCACACATCCACAACGTCTTGGACCCCAGTAAGATAAGCCTCCCAATCTTCCAGCTTGTCCTTGAACTCAGTTGCGAAAGGCGAGCCCTTCATGGTTTGAGTCTTGATGACGTGATCATCCAACAAAGTTTGAACCTCGTCGATGGATGCGCCAGAAACGATATAGGTCCCTGTGGTGCCCCAGTCCTTGAACTCCATCACCACAGGCTCCCACTCTTTGATCATGGCTTCCAAGCCACTTTCGATCTGATACTCCTTGGCCGCACTTTCGGAGATTTCGGAAATCTTCTGTATGTAGGCTCCCAGGTCCCGGTCCAGAGCCTGCAGCAGATGGACAACAACCCTTCGCAAGACATGGCACAAAAAGCTTCTCTCGTTGCTTCTTTAATGCATCAGGCCTTGTTCAAGGTGAGGCTTGGATCTGGTTCCATCTGGAAGCCAATAACATTGGATATCTCCGCCCAATGCCTTTCCCTGAGGCCCGGGTTGCAAAGGGCATGTAGCAAGGGCACATTCTCCTTGAAGGCATCCAAATCGTTTTTCACTTTCTCTGCCACCTTGCCGAAACAAAAACGTGTGGGCATCCAATTGTGATTCGGGCATTCTATCAAGCAAGCGCACTAGACACTAGACACAAGAATTCGAGTGAGGCCAGACATGCTGCTGGCATAGTCTACCGGGAGTCTACCATCCACACAAAAATCACAAAAAAAGCCCCAGCCTTCGCGGGCTTGGAAATTTGCTCCTGCTCAAATTGAGCCTTCAACTTGAAGGAGAGTCGCCACATGTTATTGACTTCAGACTCGACCTCTTCGGGCTTGATCTCCCCTGAAAACAGCGGGCTCCGTGTCCACTTGGAATTGGCCTTGTGGTGATCGTGAACCAGATTCCAAAGCTTGTCATAGGGCTCCAGGGCACTTTGTGCCTCATCGAACACATCAAACTCCGCAGCCTCCCAACCTACCAGCTCCTCCTCATAGTTTACCCTCTCGCACCGTGCCTGCAAACTGGCCAGGTTCTTCTTGATGCTGGCAAGGTCATCTAAATATTCATCCAGGTATCGAATTTGACCCTTGTCCTTGAACTTGTGGATGCTGCTCAAAATGGCGTTGAGCTCCTCTTGCAGCTCTGTTCTCCTCACAGTGAGCTTGCCTTCGATGGTCATACGGTCCATCTCCAAGTCTCGCTCTCGATCTGCGATATTTGCGCCGTAATTCTTCCAAGCCGAGGCCTCCCAAATAGCATTGTAGTCCTCTTCCGTAAGGAGAAACTCCTCGGTTTCTAGAACTTGCAGAACCTTAACCCTAGAAATGGAAGAGTTGATGCTCTGCACTTGAGACAGGCAGCCTCATCCCAAGTCAAGAAAAGCCACGCCTTGATATCCTCACAGGCGGGCCATTAAATGGCCAAGGGTATCAGTTGGAAAATTCGAGAACTCTCCTGTCCTCGTACTCATCCAGGAGGCTGGGCAAAATCTTGGCCTTTGCTTCCTCCACAGCACTTTCAAGCTCCACCAGCTGCTCCTCGTTCTCCGGCTGGCGCATTATCCGTTGGTTCAGATGCTCAAATTGCTTCACCAAGCCTCAGCGTAACTCGAAAAACTCTTCAAAGCACCTTTACATATGCTGCTTCAAAGCACCGTTTTGTCGTTTCTGCTTCCTTCCTCCATAGACCATCTCTGAGGGCTGGGCGCGCACTGCGGTCTTGATTGCGAATGGCGAGGAAACGCAAGATCTTGGACACGCAGTCATCAGCGCATTGTTCGAGTTTCTGGTTCACTTCTGCAGCATCAACTCTCATCATCTGCATGTTCAAAAGATTCGGGCACTGCTCTCGAAGCTTTGAGACAGTGTCACGCAGGTGTTGCAAGTACAGCGCGTACTTCTCCCGCGTGTTCGACTGGTCCTCAAAGAACGCAGGCAGCTTCTCTTCCTCCGTCAGCAGGAACGTAAAAGGCTCGTACAGCTCAAGAGCCTTGTCCATGTTGTAGAGGTTTACGTTTACGATCTGTTCGACACGATCGAATCCCTTCTTGATGTGCTCCTCCTCCTCCCTAACTTGCCACAGGAGGGGGCGGTTCACAGTCTCCTTCAACTTGGCATCTGGCCTGGGAAATTCTCTCAGGCAAGTGGTACAATCCCTGTAGGGCTGCAGAAGCCGTGCCCTTACAAAGTCCAAGTCATGTTTGAAGCGGATGTCTGTGCCCTGCGGGCCCACGGTCAGCTTGTTGACCAACATGACATCCTGCCATCGGTCTCCACTGGTAAGTGCCTTGACCTGTGAGTAGTGCAGCGGTTCGCCGGCAAATCGCTCAAAGAGCACCACGTACTCCCGCAGACTTACCTCCACCACATCCCTGGCAAGCTGTGAGAGAAGAGCCGCCACAGCCTCGTAGAAGTGCGACTCCATTTTCTCTGGATGTGCAGTTGGGATGAGCTGTAGCAACTTGCTATTGGGAGTCGTGGGCTCTCCAGATGCCTCCATGTCGACCGACGCCTGGAGGTAGACCGGCTCTTCGGACACTATCTGGATCACCTGGGCTGGTCTCAGCAGTGTGGCTCAAGTAGCTACTAGGCACCAGGCCCTACTCGGCTTTTGCAACTTATGCATTCTGCACAAGTCCAAACATGGGCCAGGCCACCTGCTGCCATGCAGTTGACAATCCCTGCAATCCTGTTTCACGTAAGGAACTCTGAGAAGAAAAGAATGTGTTGATGTCGCAAGTCTCCGCATGTGCTCGGGGATAATTGAGAAGCCGTATGTCCTGGCAAGTGTTTATTATGTCAGATGCAAGATGCATTAATGCCACGCGCAAACGCAGAATCTTCAGCAACAGTCCTCACAGTTCTCCAACCAGAAATCTGCTAATCTCAGGGCTGTTGCAGAGTTCTGCACATGCCGCATTGCCAGCGAAGTCCGCGCAGCCTGGAGGCCTGCGCGCCAGTGCTCTGGGGGCCCACCGGGTGTCCCAATGTCAGGGACTGTGTATGTCAATCGACCCCACTCCGGAGGTGGCACAGGAACAAATGGGATGTCCAGCCGCTTCCTGCACCGGTCATCCAGCAAAGCGTAATTGACGACTGAGGTTTTGGCAGCTCGGATGTACCCCTTCAAGATTTCATGTCGGAGTTCTTCTATAAGCTGCCCTTGCTCATCCTCGGAAAGCAGTGGCCACCTGGCAGGGTTTTGCAACTCCAAGAGGAGCACCGCGTGCTCAAGCCATTGGCGGTGGTAGGGGGCCAGAACCTCCGAAGGCACCCCTCCCTCGGTGTAATGCTTGTACCTGCTGAGAATGCGACAAAACTCGGTGCTCGACAGGCCCACAGAATCCAATTCTGCAACAATAGGAGAATCCTCCACAATCCGCGGCCATTCGGAAGTCCAATCCACGTTCCGGACATCAGCTGTCCCGCTGTCATTTCCATCCTTTTTCTTCACGGCCGGCTTTCGTCTGATCATGGTGCTCTCCAGGTTGACATGAGCCTCATGGTCAATTGTTAGAACTTGTGCCTGGGGAGTGTAGTTGGAAGCAATAACCTGAGCTGTGGAAGCGGGAGAAAGCTGTTAAGAGGCGTGCCTACAAACACAAAAAGAGAACACACTCCCAACCGCTACATTTTTGCCAATCTCTCGGAGTAACATTGCTGATGTGGTCCCGCTCCACCGCCTCGCGGAACAGGGCCGATCGGGTCCGGCTGCAGCGGTCGAGCAAAGGTGGGAAGAGCCGCTCCGAGACAGGGAGCTGCCGGGTGAAACGACCATCCTCTTTTAAGGAAGCCAACTTTGCGCGATCTTTCCTCTCCTTCTTCGGGAAAGGGACCTCACCTGGAACATTGGTCTCTTGATGGAGAGGCTTAAGAATAGGAGTGGAGCTTGACTTCCGAAGCCCAGTTCTCGCATCCATGTCGGGTTCTGGGCTTAGGAGGGCGTCGCTCGCAAGCAGCATCCTGTCTCTGTCCGGCCTGAACAGTGACGCCTGCGATTTGGATGTCTGAGCCATTCTCTTCAACAGCTCTGCACCTGTGTTACCGAACATGTGGTGCTCCGCTGTGACCTGGCTAGACGATAGGCGGCTAGGATCCAGAGGTTCGAAGGTAATGGTTTGACTTCTGACCTTGATCTGGCCAATACCCGGAAGGTCAAGCTGCACCTCCGGTGACTCCTGCACGGCAGTCCAGAACTCCTTCACAACGGACTGCACCATCTCTTCTGCCGCATCCTTCTGCAGCCCAGCTGTGGCCGCAATCTTTTCTAGCCGGACCTTTGAGATGGGTCCGATGCTGGGGCCGGGTCCCTCCCAGCGCAAGTCCTTCGGCAGGACCTTCTCTAAGACTTTGAAGCGCATTGACCTAGGAGGTCCCGAGTGGCTGAAAAACACACCCAAGTTGGGCACATGAACCGTCCGACCCAGGGACACCTCCTGGATCAGGTAAGTGCAGAGGGCCTGAAAAACTTGCGTTACGTGTTCATGATATCTGTTCTCATCCTCCTCTTGGCCAGAGCTCTCATGGAGCGTGGCCATGTGCTTCAAAGCGCAAAAGGCGCTCCGAAGCACTCAGGAAGCTACTACGGTTAAGCCTCTTCGACTGAGCAGAAAAATTTCGGGCATTGCTGATGAGCGACATCGTGAGACTACCATCGACAACAATCCCCACCTGCTGGACTGCTACAGGTTTTACAATTGAAAAGGTGCTAGCTGCTGCTAGCCGCAAGACATCGCCAGCCCAACAGAGACAGGTGCCTATTCACAAGCAGCCGTTCTGCTACCAAGGCAAGCGCCTTCGCCTGGAAGAAAACTGCGCGGTAATGTCGAAAACACCTGCCAGCCACCGTAGTAAGACTTCCCGAAAATTTTGTTTTCCGCCACGCATGCCATCATTCAATCGTCATTCCTGCCAATCCTTTCAGACATGCACTGACTGTCGCGCCTACGGCCGTCTCGTCCAGCAAGCAGAGGTGCACGTGGAACGTGATGGATCCAAACCTGACAAGACAATAGCACATTGCCCCACGGAAAAAGACAGAGTCTTTGCGCTGAGGCATGGGCAAATACAGCAAGGAGTTTACGAAGTGCAGCACGGTCACAACCTGATACCGTCTCTGGGGGAACACTGTCCAGGCATGCAAGCAAGACAGATTGGCATTTCGCTCGCAGGCTTCAAGTTTAGCTTAGCTGCGGTCACATCTTGCATGTTTCATATGGCGGTCGCAGGTGGATACACAAACCCGCCGTTTGCGTCTCATGCTGTAAGCTGGAAACCCTGATCATGTTCAAGCTCGGGACATTCAGAGCAGAGGGTGAAGTCGACAGACGTGCGAAAAGAGAGCCTTGGTCACCTCAGCGCGAGCTCACAGTCTGCACTGGTGATTGGCTTCACGTCCTCCTCATGGCCGCCTGACTAAGGTGACTGAGAGAGCCACTGCTCACGCAAATCGGCTCGAGGGCGAAGATGGCCGAGACAAGAACAAAGCTAAGCATGGCAGAGCCTGAGAATAATCGCTTCACCCACGTACCCCACAAAGGGAAGCCTACTTGCAGCTGTGCAACTTCTCAGATGAGTGGAGAGCTGCCGGCTTGCAAAAACCTGGTGGCTGAGCGCAGTAGCAGTAGCAACATCAAATCCTGTAACCCAAACAGGAATTTAGGAATGCAAGCAGGCAGCATTCCAGGTTGTACTCTGGGGAGATGAAGGCGAAAGTTTGGAGCAAATCCATTGCATCCAACTGAAGATCTCTTTGTTTCGCTCCTCAGCTACAAGGCAATGTTTCTCATGGCCCCAGCAACTTCTGCAGTCAAGGCTCCTCCTTGCGCCGCATTTTCGCCCGCGTGCAGAAAGCAATTCCAAGCTCCTCCTCTTCAACCATGGTAAACCCCTTCTCAAACCTCCGGGGCGCTCACCAGCAGAAAACAGATTCATGCCGTGCAACGCAAGAAGAGCACAGCCTGTTTCTCGCATCATGAGAATTGTTGGAGGATTGTGAGTTTCGACCTCAGCCACGTTGAATCCCGAAAGCAGAAATATGCGACAAGACCTTGGCATTTGGTGAAGACTTGGCGAGCCGCGACCATCAGGAAAGATTGACTCTGCGACACTTCCAAGACTCCATCGACGACCTTCGGCAACAAGACGCAATCCCAAGCAGGAACACGAACTCTAGAAGTGCAGCTGCGCACCGAAAACACTGCCGCGGCCGGTGATCTGCAACTTGCCCAGCCCGGCAAAGATGGAGCCTGGCGCGGCGTGCAGGAAAATGACGAACATCTGCCGATTTGATGGGACTTGAACGCTGTAAGGTGTTGTAAGCCTTTTGGCTCCCGCGGCGCTGAGGGAGGTGGCGTCGTTGCTGAATTGGAGTCACTGTCGCTGAGACGTTTGCTTGCCTTCTCCTGGAAAGCACTGCCACTCATGCTGCCAGCCGCAGCTGTGGCTTATGTTTATGTCATATAGCACTTTGCTAGGTAGTTTCCTCATCACCTTCCACCTGATTCGGAAGGCAGACAGTGACGGTCTTGACCTAAGATGCTCAGCACATGCCTCCAGCCTTGCATGTGACGCACGCAAGGCGTGACATCTTTGCATCCTGGCGGCCATAGGTTGGGCAGCTCAGGGGTGGCACCACTCCTTCAAGCAAAAAGCGAGCTGTCAAATGTAGTCACTCTCTTCAAATCTGTTATGCTCTTGCGCTTCTTTTTGTCTTTCAGGCCCAGGATCTCACTGGCCACCCCAACCCGCTTTCATAACGGACCTGCAGCTCAAAACACTGGCAACATCTTGTTAAGCTCACCTGTCACGAAAGATTCTACCCCGAGGGTCGGACGCACAGCAGTCAACAACCCTTAAGGTGAGTTGACAATATCATCCCATGCTACTCTGGCCAGATCCTTTTGAGCCAGAGCTGCGCGCACAGAGACATCTCAAATCGTTTGTAGCTGCAGCTGCTGGGAGCTGCTTGTGCGATTGCCCGGAATCAAGTGCTGCTGCCTTTGCGTGTCCGAAGAATACATTGAAGGAACACTGTGTTTCGGCATGTTCCAGCCTTTCTGTATCAGCTTACGGCAGCATCCGCAGGCGACGCAGTCAAGATCACAAGGCTTTGCATTTTGTTGCAGACGTCCTGGTTGTTGCGTGACTATGCATGGGAGCGTCTGCTTGCTTCCTCATCTCCAGCATTTGAGCCGAAAAACATGCATTGGTCAGGGTGGGTTGCCCCCAAAAAATTGGTAAAAGGGGGTGTCTGGGGCAGGGCTCTGGGGTTGTATCAGGGGGGTTCTGGGTCTTGTATCATACCATATTCTTACCCTTATTCACTCTCTCACATCTCCTCCTGCTTCATTCCTATCATTATCTTTACCTAATTCATTATCATTGTTTTCTCCTCCTCCTTCATTTCGTCTTTTACCTCATCATCAACATTGCCACCTCATCCGTTTCTCCTAACCATTTTTATTTAAGTAGTTTTCCACCCTTTTTTATCATTATCATAAACCACCCCCTTATTCGTTCTAAAATTCATAATATCATCTCCTTCGTTTTCTG